CACGGGAAGCCCCCTGGCTGGGAGACGTCGCCGTGGTGACGCAGAGAGCTCCCTAACCCCGGGGCAGCGTGGCAAGAGGCACTACTCGGAGGAGCAGTTTTAGCTCCACATTAACCACAGAAAGACACTCATCACACGTAAACATTTACAAGTTTCCGAAGCCAACCGTGGGAGGATGTCACCTGGGGGGAACAGGGAGGGGATCCTCCCACGGTGGGGACAAGACACCGCAGAGCCACGGGTCTCAGTCAGCACACTTCGCGTGTCCCCAGTCTTCCCAGTGCCCGTTCTAGAACCAGTGATCCCAGCTCTCATGCTCCACAGGCTGGTGCAGGCAGCAGTGGCTTTCCTGTATGGAGAAAACCCGTCACTTCTAACACAGCAACTGACCGTCTGCTCATCAGAAGAATGTATTTTAAACCTGGAAAGAGTCATAATTCTGAGACGTTTCACATGTTGTCAGCTTTACCTTCCACAGACACGGGCCTCTCCCCTTTGCTGAGGGACCCTCGGGCTGTGCCGGAGACATGGCCGTGGGGAAGGGGGTGTTCTCCCTATCAGCATGCACCAGGTTCGTGGTTGGGATGGCGCCCTGTGCAAGGACTGTGGCGGTGGGGGACGTGTTCTGGAGGCGGGGTCACCAGCAAGCTTGCCTACACAGTACAGCCAGAAGGCAACTCTGGGTTCTCATAAAACTCTGCCCTTCTCCGCCACTCACCGCATCCCCTAAGGGTCGGCCCTTCACTAGCTATGGTGTCTCACCAGCAAAAGTGAACGCTATAGGACCGCGGAAGCCTCGTGGTACTAAGGAGAAAGACTCTCGTCAGACAGTGTCCTGGTGGCGGGTTCTAGGAAGCAGGAGGGCCCCAGTACAGCGCCCAGGCCCTGGAAGCGGCTACATGCGGGAGGTAAAGGTACGAGTGGCTGGGGCACGCTGACCCCACGGAGGCCAGGGGCCCCCCTCACGTCTGCGGTGGCTACACGTATCAGAGGCCGGCAAGTCGGCACAGGTGAGAACCGAGCACATGCTAGCGGTGAACCCAGGGCTCCCCCCCGACCCCATGGCAGCAAGGGTCAGGGCCCGGGCTCGACCCTTCTAAGGCTCAGAGTGCGTTCTGTGGCAGGACTGGCTTGGCTGGTTTCAAGGACTCCAGTTCAGTAGCCGTGGACCCTCAGACAAACTGGGACAGGTTGGGGACTTTGATGTTGAGATCACCAATGTTGATGTTCCGAGGAATCTCCGGCAGATTGATGTTTTTCACAGCGGACACGGCCCGGGCGGGGGCTGCTGACAGGCCACCCTGAGGAGACACGAGAGGGGGCATGAGACAAACGCTCGGTGTCATCTGCTTAACGCTTAAAAACACAAGTGACGGAGACCGGAAGTGTCCACACCGAGCACACACGACACACGTTTTGATTTTTCCTCCTTATTCCTCAAAGGTATGGCCAATGCGGCAATCCTGAGGTGGGACGGGGGCTCTGGGGCAGGCTCCACAGCGTGCGCTCCCGAAGGGGTGGTGGCTCACGTGGGGTGCTAGCCCCCGCACCTAACAGGGCCTGGCACACAGCAGGCGCTCAGTGCACGCTTGCCGGAATAACCGGAGACGGTTTGACCACGTCATACTCTGTGTCAGGGGCACTTTTCAGACTACAAAACAAAGCCCTTCCCCGAAGAGCCTGAACACTCTTAGAAGCGGGTGCAGTCACAGGGAAACGCGTACGAGAAAAAGGAAAGTCCGTTTAGGGCAGCTGCCTGCCAACTATCAACGTGAGACGGGAAAGAGCTGGCTTTGGAAATGTCATGTGGCAGCAAGATGGGCGGAAGGACCCGTGGAAGGTCTGACACACCCGCAGCCACGGAAGGACTGTGACAAACACAGAGAAGAGGGGCGCTCCCCGCTGGCTCGCCCCCAGCGGGCAGAGAAGGGGAGAAGCCGACAAGACTCCCAGAACCCCGTCCTCCTCACTGACTGTCGGGACACCGACTCCAGTCCCGCTCTCGCCCAGCACGTCTCCATTCTTCCTGTTTCCAAACCCCTTGCCTGTGACTCACTCACTACTCCCGGAAGGTCCCTGGCCTGTGTCACTAAAGGACCGTGGTGCCGCTCCAGGGGTGGTCTGGCGGAGCTTCGTCGGCAGGGCCACCAGTCCTCACAGACAGAGGAATTCGTGGCTCTTTGCAAGGTCAAGTTCCGTCACAAGAAGGAATGAAGCTCTCGAAGACACTCAGGTAATTAAAATTCTCTTCCTGCCGCGTATGAAGGTGTAGGCCTGTAGCCTCTACACTGCTCTCCGGCTAGGCTGACGGAGGTGATAGAGAAACCTCAGGGGGGTAGGACAGAATCTACTGTGAGCCGTTTTTGTTTAAGTTTTAAGTAATCTCTACCCCCAGCGTGGGGCTCAAACTCACGACACTGAGACCGAGGGTCGCGTGCTCCAACTGAGCCAGCCAGGTGCCCCTAGTGGGAGCGTTTGTATCAAGCCCAGCACCATGTGGGGGTGGGCTGGGGTATGTTGTTTGTAAACCCAGCCCAAATTCTGTTCCAGCTGAGTACAGGGCTAACTGGAAATAAGGGAACTGGCAAGTCGGAGCTCTGAAAGACACCACGAGGAATGGCCGCTGGGAAAGCAGACTCCCAGAGCACTGGAAAACCACAATGGGACCAGACAAGGGGATTCTGGGTCCCTCCAAGGAATGTGTAGCTTTGAAAGGAGGAATTACAAACTACAAGCACCGGCCAGAGTCCCCCAAGCCGGGAGGTGTCTGTCTTTGTGTGCCATCTGGCTTTTCCGTTCACACTTTTAGCCTTATTCTTACACGTTTTAATCTTCAGGGCTGGCCTTCCAATCAGCGGGCCTTCCAATCAGTTTCGGTGGACTCGAGGAAGAAAGAAGAGGCGTATACACATTCCTAAAGTTCCCCAGCAACACAAACCAACACATGCATCCCTTTCTCCTTCTGCCCCGGTCTTCTCGAACCGGGTTCTTCTCGAGCCGAACTGGCTGGGGCAGAAGTACAGCCGCGTACTCACCTCGGATTTCTCCAGCCTGTTCTGAGCTTCGATCTGAGCCACGATTTCATTCATGTTGGTCTCCAACACCATCCCACCCATCACCACCTCCTGAAGGATGTAGTGCACCTGAAGGGGAAGCGGGAACGAGAAGGGTTGGAGCGCCCTGCGGAGGTCGCGGTGTGGCCCAAACAGAGACCCCGCGGGCTCTCCTGCACCAGCAGAGCGGCTGGACCCGACACCAGCTCCTGATTCCCAACAGACACCTAAGCCCGAGTCCTCCACCCCTCACGTGAGACCACAGGGGCGGCCCCCGCGTCTCGGCACACCGTCACGCGAACCTCTTCCGTGAGCAGCTCATTCCGTAGCTCTTTCCTACCTGCGGGCCACACTCTGGGCGGGAAGGTGGTAGCTGAGAGCACAGGCTCTGAAGTCACACAGGTTAAGCTGGGTGACTTTGGGCACACTATCCTTTCTGTTCCCCAGCCTCCTTCCAGAACTCTGGTGAGGACTGAGATAACCTCTACCAAACGCCCAGCCTGCCCCACACCGGGTTCTAAATGAATCAGGATGGCGCTCATTGCTGCTCTCGGCAGCAGCACCGCTGACGGACGCACACTCGGTCACTGCAGGGGCGGCGGGACAATCCCTGCCCAAGCACATCCCACGTGCAATGCGACGTCTCCCGGGCTTCCTAAGATAGGCCCTCCAGCCCGTGTTACGCTGGCGGCAAAACAGGCGCGCGCCTTCATACCGGTCCTCATCCCTTTCTTAGAGCTGGGATGAGAAACTGGGTCCTTCAGGCCCTGACCACCTTGTCGGCATTGGCTCCGGCCTCTCGCATAAATCTGCCTTTCCAGGCAGATCCAGGGGCTCTGCAGACCCACCACCGGCAGAATTGCTTCCTCCGGTGCCTTCCACCTGAAGTCCTTCTTCCCACTTCTCTGATGTCAGAGACCAGCTCGGTCCTCCCACCGTCTCAGTGAATCTCTCTGGTCTCTCTAGCCGCCCTCTTCCTTCTCGGGCTGTTGATCTGGTGCTTAATTAACAATAGAAGGTGGCACCTCGAAGGCCATGTTGACAGGATCTGATTTGAAAGAAGTCCCACTCCTTACACACCCCAGCAGACACCTCTGACCGACCCTCTGGGGGTTTCTATGGCAGCTCGCTCGCTACCGTGGGGTGCAGTGTTTGAGTCAGCACAGGGCTCAGTCAGCGCGATGGTCAAGTACACGGAGATTCAGTTTTGCTGAGGAGGACTGGCTGGATGGAACCCGAGCGCACACGTGAGCCTGGTGCCCAGAGGAGTATTCACACTGAACCTAGTGACGAGGTAGTCTGGGTCTAAAGTTTGAGCACTATTGCCACTTGGGGCTGGAAAATTTTCTGTGTGTGT